TTCGATCTTGTACCGTGCCATCTTTTCTCGTAGTCGTGGAACTCTCATATTCGCCAGGGGATGAGTACGTAGAAAAGTCCGGTGCCTTCTCCGTGGTAGTCGACATTATAGCTGAATGCGCGGGTGAGAGTACTTAAGCCGAGGGTAGACTGCAGAGAAGAGCGCACAATTCCCGGAGGAGGGGATCCCCCCTACTTAACGTGACCATCATAGCACGGAGTATCCATGGGCCGGCAGGTCTGGACATTCCATTGACGGGTAAGATTAATATACTGAAGTGGTCCATCAGCAGCTAAACTAAGTGTTGGGAACAATTGATTGTGTGACCTCCGCGGGCCAATTTCCCAAAGTGCTTATCCCGCAGTATCCCTGCAAATGCAACGGCACTTATGCACACTAAAATCCCCGTCGTTATGTAGATTGACTGTGCCACGAATTTCGCTGCAGGAGGGCACTGCTCAGCACGTTTCTGTAGATGGCATAATTAATTACTTATATCCATCCCTGTTAGTCCTGTTTTAGATCAGACAATGGGGAGACGCACCCCGGTCTGCGCGAATTTTTCCTCGGTTATGTTCGACCGACTCCAGTGGACAAGGATCAAAGAGTTTTGGCAATATTGTCGAATAGGGGTGGTGTCAATCTCCGATTTTATCAAACATGAGCCAGTTGCAAATTGACAGAAAGGTCTCTCGCTGCTCCCAAGCACAATCACATTGCCGCTGCGACAGCAGAAGTATGGATCAGTCGATATGCCACAAGCAGCCTATGTGATCTCCGACACAGACCGTCGTGGTCTGGTGGTCGTTGTCGCCACTCTCTTCATGTCTTGGATGGTCCTGGTCAGCCTCTTTCGCATCTACATGCGCTTGGCTATCATAGGGCCGTGGGGACTGGACGATCTGATGGCTATATTTGGTGCTGTGAGTACTGAGCCATGCGCCAGATATCTGGGTAACGCGACAGATCTGAAATATACTGAGATCTGAGTATGTGGATAGATGATGGGGATCGCTAATGTCGGGGTAACGATGAAAGGTGTCAACGATGGATTGGGAAGCACAGAGAACCACCAAAGGGCGCCTCAAATCGACCTCGCTGAACAGGTATACTCCACTTGATGGAATAACAGACCGAGCATTGTGCGCCGGCTTGACTGACTCGTCTAGGATTTATATGCTACAAATCTTCTGTTCCTGGCTGGCCATTGTGCAGCCAAACTGTCGGTTCTCTTTCTCTTGCAACGTCTGGGAAGAGAAAGATCATATCTGAGGGCATGCGTGGGAGTGATGGCGGGCATTGTCCTATGGGCGGTGGTATCGATCTTGATCGTCTCTTTGAAATGTCCATTTCGTCACCCGTGGCTCATCGACCAATGTGCGAACATTGTAAGTCCTTGCTCGGTTTGTGAATGGCTTCCAAGTTGACGACAATCCTAGCTCGCTCGCTGGCAAGCGATTACCGTTCTAGATGTCATAACCGAACTTTCGTTGCTTATCCTCAGTTTGTATCTTGTCTGGCCGATCCGCTTGACACGAATGCGGAAGGCTGGTGTTATTGGCGCGTTTGGGACGAGAATCGGGTAGGGCGTCTACTCTTTCAAAAGTCCCCTGCCTTGATGAAAGTCAGCTTCTGATCTCTGGATGCCTAGAATTGTCATCCTTTCTATCGTGCGGCAAACCACGCTAAACACCATTGCACATACCAACGACCTCCTTCTCGACATCTCCGACGCAGTCATCCTGACTCAGGTCCTCTTGCATTGCAGTATCATGGCAGCGACATTGCCCTGTCTCAAACCGTTCGTTGTGGCCTTTAATACTGGTTGGGGTCAAGGCACAGTTGGACAAGATGGTAGTAGCTATTACCATCAGCCCAGCACGGCATCAGCGACCGTGGAAAGGTCTCATGCTACTTCGGGGAAAGGAGGGTCGGAAGCCTCGCGGCAAAAGAATTGGGACAGGACGGCTGTGGGAGACTCGAGTCATCGAGACTCTCAAGAGTGGATCATTCAGGAGACCCGAGAATGGTCGTTGCGGTATGAGACGATCGAGATGAAGCCAGTGGATTCGAAAAGATAGACGAAGAAGGGTGCTCGGGGGTGTGTATTGTCTGGTACGACGGGCCACTACGGAGAATCTCGTAATGAATGCCTAATGTGGTATGTCGACCAGCTATCTTACTAGCGGTAACATTCGTAAGATATACTCTTTGCAGCCAAAGTACAGTGCCTGGCTTCGTCTCACAGCCGAAAGAATCAGCAGCTGGCTGAGTTGTCATTATTAGACCATGATCTCAATAAGATATATGGGCTGTGACGAGGGCTGTGACGAGGGCTTTTCTGAAATGCTTTTCAACGCTCGTGGCTTGCGCCGAAACCTTCACCCCAAGTACCCTACGATATGCCCCTCTCTCGAAGATCTATAGCAGGTAAGAGGTGCGATAAGCGACCACCCTCGAATCAGATTTCTAACATATTCCACTTCTCAAGGAAGCTTGCAGCTTCTTCTCAGCAGGAGAGTCACGCCATTCCAATACCAAAGACCGATAGACAAGCGACCTCACTCGTCTCTGACGGCCAGTGGAAGTCCCCGAAAAGAAGTCGCCCTTGCGACGCACGATCAAGACCAAAGCTCCATTCAATATGCCCTGTCAGTACTCCCACAAACCTTCATTTCCTCTCCGCCAGCCCCGTCTGACTGAGATGCGTCCAGCACCACCCTGGACCAGGTAGCCAACTGGGCTCTTCAGGGCTCCTTGTGGCCCATGACCTTCGGCCTGGCGTGCTGTGCCGTGGAAATGATGCATGCGGCCGGTCCTCGCTACGATATAGAACGCCTGGGGATGCTATTTAGGGCCTCCCCTCGACAGGCGGATCTTCTGATCGTGGCCGGCACGCTAACGAACAAGATGGCGCCAGCGTTCCGACAGGTATACGATCAAATGCCCGAACCACGATTTGTGATCAGTATGGGAAGCTGCGCGAATGGGGGTGGGTATTATCACTATAGTTACTCCGTGGTCCGAGGTTGCGATCGGATTGTTCCGGTGGATGTATATGTACCAGGATGTGAGCGCTATCCTCCGCGGGCTAGAGGTTCCATGAAGGACTTGCCGATGACTGATGACTCTATAGGTCCGCCAACGGCCGAAGCGTTGCTGTATGGGATTTCCTTGGTACAAAAGAAAATTCGGCATAGAAAATTGACTCGGATGTGGTATAGGCGCTGAGTCGCGTTAGTTCCTTGTTTTGAAGATGTGTAGTTGGTTTTAGAATGACAGATTGTTCCAAAAGTAAAGAAAAACTTAGTCATCACAGGACCAGGTTTGACTTCTTGCGGGGGAGCATGAATTCTTTTCGTCACCAATTCTCCTCTTGCAAATCACCACCATACCAATCCAAACCTCATTAATAAGTAGGCTTCGTAAAGCATAGTGTCCTCATGGGTGGCCAGAAGAGGGAACAGAAGAAAAAGTCGCACCACGGTTGTCTGCGATGCAAACAGCGAAGTGTCAAGGCAGGTTAAAAGCGGACCAGCCCTGGTGTCTGAAGATAAGGTAGCCTCTGCTTACTGTTCCATGATCATGCCGTATAGTGCGACGAAAAGCGGCCTGATTGCTCCAATTGCATTAAGCGACAAGAGATCTGCCACTATGCTGCCTCAGGGCCCTGGCTCTGGACACAGCAATCCATTCATGTAGCCCATGCAAACCGTAAAGCATCGGCATCAACCCGGGGCCCGGCGCTCCATCGACAAACCCCAAACCCTATGACCAGACCGGCAAACTTGAAGGGCACTCACCAAGACCCTCTCCTGATGACACCAATACCCCCATCGTTCCCACCTATCAAGAGCTCACCTCATCACCACCCCCTCTTTCTCAACTGGACCACCTCTACCTGCCACTCCATCGCCCGCACGCCGATCGACGGCCGGATCTGGCAAACCGTGATCCCACAACAAGCCCTCAGATGCCCGCAGCTCTTCCACGGCCTCCTCGCCGTCTCCTCCCTCCACCTCGCCCTGCAGCAGTCCACCTTAGCACCTAGCCAAGACCACCAGAAAAGCAGCCTGATAGTAGCGGCAGAACACCACCAAAGCGCCGCGATCACCCTCCTCACCCAAGCCCTCTCCATCAGCACCGACACCGACACCAACAAAACCACCACCTTCGCCCTCTCCTGCCTACTAGTAGGCTTCGCGTTTGCTTTCCCCCTAGCAGTCACACAAGACCATCACCAAAACGCCCTCGATGACCTCCTCAACATCTTCACCCACATCCACAAAATGATGGCCTTCTCCACGCCGACCATCCCGCACCTCCGCACAAGCGAGATGGGGGATCTTCTCCACCTCGATCATGACGACAACACCAACACCCTCAAGAACCATCTGCCCCCAAACTTATCCCCCTCCTCCCGCCAAGCAATCACAATCCTCCTCCAGCACCTCAACCACTCCCTGACCCGCTCCTCCACCTCCTCCTCTGGAGATTACTCCTCTGGAGAACGCCTAATCTACCTCACAACCATCACCCACCTCGCCCACCTCCTCGCAAAGCACGACGACAACGACCCCACCACCCCTAAAGATCTCGTCTCCGCCAGCTTCCTCTGGATCTGCTCCTTACCCACCGGGTTCCTCGATCTCCTGCGGCACCGCAGACCGCTGGCACTAGTCATTCTCGCGCATTACTGCGTAGTGCTGCATGTGCTGCGGCACCGGTGGTGGATTGCTGGGTGGGGCCGACAGGTGTTGCAGACGGTGTGTGACTTCCTCAAGGCCGAGGGGGAGGAGGAAGAGTGGAGGGTGGCGTTGAGGTGGGTTTGGGGAGAGATTGAGGGGGAATGAGTTGTACTACATTATAAGCAAAGCTTATTCACAGCTAGAGAGTTGGGTAGTAGTGTTGTTCTTCAGTGAGCCATAAGAAGAAGCACCATATAATCTTATACACATGCATACTGCTAATAGCGACAATAACCCCCCAACCAAAAATACCAGCGGTCCATCACTAGGAAGAATCCACCCCCTCAGCCCGCAAAACCACCACCCCATCCACCGCCCGCAGCTCCTCAACTGCTTTCCCAGAGAGTCTGAACCACCATTCAAAACAAATAAGCAATCTCAGCCAAAACCGACAATTCCCTCCTTTTCCCCCACCCTTCCATAAACTTAACGATTTCCAGGGTGAAACTTACGTCAAAAAGTGAGTCGGGGGGATATTCCGCGTACTCGCCCAGATGTCGGAGCCGGTGTCTGCTTGGATGATCCTGTAGTCGGTTGGTTTCGATCGATGTGACACAGCGATAAGGGGTTTCCAGCACAGGCTGGTACTTATACCATACCTCTTCACCTGATCGCGGGTCTCCTCCGTGCCGAATCCCATGTCGTCGGCGTAGCGGAATTGGACGGACTGGTTTGGGATTTTAGTATGCTGTGCAAGAATCCTCAGCGACGAGAGGTGAGGGTCGGTTACTTACCATGCTTTGGGTGGACATCGCGAATGCGGATTCTGTGGGGCTGTTGGTGGGGTTTGAATAATGTGCTATGTAGATAGTCTTCTTGCGAGGTGCGGTTGAGGTTTCCAATTGCTGGTGGTGGTGGTGGTTGTTCCGAGGCTAAAAGTGACAAATACGATGATCAGCGTGATAATTACCGCTTGTGGAACCCACGCTACGTATCATCCATGATGGGTATTCTCACTATGTACATAATCGGCGTGTACTCTGTCTCGCACTCGATCGAAAGAGATCTAGTATATCACTCTGATATCGGCGATCTGCCCGTCAAATAAGGTAGCCAACAAGTTCTCCAGCAATACTATGAGATATCCTCTCCATGCTCGATGCAGCCCCGATCTGATATCCAATTCCTACTCGCGCACAGACAATTCATATCCCCCACGGCTGAATGCCTAGAATGCGTATACACGTCAAACAACATAAAGTACATATATATGTGCAGAGCTATCTCATAGCTAGATTGTCATCTCATCATATCATCCATCTATACATAATGACATCCATCCTTCCCTCAAACATGCAATTTCGGTTCGCCAAATCCAACTCAAACGCACTAGCCCAATTGTATAGCACCAAGCTAAGCGCCGATCTGTCTCCTTCTCATGCCAACCTGCAGCCCAAGAGGCTTACGCAGGAAGCCCTCGCGGCTCTCCATGGGTCCATCCTGCTGCATCTCGAACTCGAACAAGCGGAACACGGTACCGCAAATGGTGAGAAGCTCCATTTCAGCAACGTTGCGACCAACGCAGGCACGGGGACCGGTGCTGAAGGGAATGAACGCGGCCTTCTGGCGGGCGGTGAGACGGGCAGGGTCCCAACGCTCGGGGACAAAGTCGTCGGCGTCAGGGCCCCAGATCTCCTTGGAGTGGTGGATAGTGTAGCTCGGCACAGAGACAATGTCGCCCGGGTAGAAGGTGTGGCCGGAGATAGTGACGGGAGGGTTGCCAGCGGGAATTTCACGGGGAAGACCCATCGCCGAGGTGCTGTGGATACGCATGGTCTCCCAGATGACCCATTGCAAGCTGTGCGGTAGTTAGAACCTGTAAATGACAACGATAAGAGGGAGGAAACGTACTAAGGAATCTCCTTGACCATAGCGTGAGTGGGCACCTCGATGTCCTTGGGAATAGCCTCATCGAGAACCTTGTGGAGCTTCTCAATCACACCAGGGGTGCGCATGCACCAGTATAGGATAGCACAGGAGGTGTTGGAGGTAGTATCGGAACCGGCAATCAACTGGGTCAGGGCCTCGGCAGTCAACTCTTCGCGACCAAGCTTGTTACCATTCCCGTCCTTTCCTTCCATAAGACGAGCAAGGAGATCCACGCGAGTGTTGTTGGCCATCACCTCGGGACGCAGACGCTCGTTGACTCGAGCGACAGCAATACCAGCCAGGTTCTCAATGGCTTCCATACCATCCCTGAAAAAGCGGTCGGGAATGTACTTGGCAAACGGCTTCAGCGCGGGGTAACAGCCGAGGGTGGCGGAGACTTCACCACGGCGGTTGAGCACCTCAACAGCCTGGACATAGGAAGGAGGAGAATCCGGAGTCTTGCGGATCTCAGCGATATCCTGCTCCTTCTCAAGCATACCAAAGGGAGCACCGAAAGCAAGATCTCCGATAATATCGAAAGCCAGATAGTTGAACCAGTTGAGAGCATCGAGACTGGCATAGCCGGTGCGGGGGTCGCGCCGGGTGTTGGCCATGTTCGTCCACTTCTTAACGAAAAGCTCAATGTTGCCGTGGATGTACTGCTCGAACTGGCCGATAGACTTCATACTGAAGGTGTGCGAGACGGTCTTGCGCTTGCGGGTGTGCTCCGCACGGTCGCGTGTGTTGAACAGACCGCGACGGATGGAAACAAAGGCATCGTAAAAGTCCCTGTATCACTTGCGTGAGTCGGATCCCCTAAAAATATATAAAAGACAACGTACGCCTTCAAGAAACCATTTCCGTGACCGTAAACAGCCTGGATCGCGTTGTCATCGGCGATGGAGACATGGCGGGGCGCGATGCGGACGAGTTTGCCATAGCGTTTGTGGGCATCATCGACAACGAGAAAACGGGATCCGCGACGGGTTTGGAGGAGGAGCCAGAAGTTGGAGAAGGCAGCGAAGCCAGGAGACGGAATATCACGTAGACGCCAGACTTGTAAGTAGGGGAGGAGATAGTAGATGGCCACCAAGCCCAAGAAAAGGTAAGGGGTGGCCTGCAGCGAGAGCAGGTCGGCAATCATGGCGGCCGACCGGTCTGATTGGATATTCGACGAAAATCCGGGGTAATAGAGTAATAGAGTAGTGAACTGAGGGGGAGTGGGCTGACAGTTAGTCTAATTGCTACTAACAGGGAAGAATTGTGGAATTGTGAGGGAGGAATGACAGCCGATCTCAACTGCCGAAGGAACGGAATGGGAATCCCTTGCCGGAATTCCCAGCATTTATTTTGGGCACACGCTCACTTACCTCGCGAAGACTCCCGGTATTGTCCCTAATCGAGAGAATCGAAAGACAAAATCTTATAGAATAAGCATCAAAGAATCAAAAGATGAAAAGGAAGGTTGACAGATGATTGATAGAGGGTTGACCGAAGGGTCTGGGATTTAAAAGGGAAAGGAGGGACAACTTTCCCCGAGGCTATCAAAACCAGCCGGGAGATAAATCGGGAGTGACAGCCCGGACTCGACTACTGCGGCTGGCACTGGCTGCCTCTCCCCAGCCGATCTCCAACCCCGACTCTACATCTCCTCCCCGCTTAACTCTCGGGTATCACGGTTATTCCTTTGTGGGGGAACAGGATCAGCCCCGTTGATTGTCGATCCAGGGATAGATTGAAGTCTATTTCATGCCTCTGGGATGCACAAACCAGTCAGAATGGAGATGAACGTCAGTCTCCCAAGAGGGTTCTGCCAATGAGATCGTGCTCGTTGCATATTGCTTCATTGGGACTTCGTGTCCTATGTCCATGAGTTTGGAAACCTCCTACTACTAAGGTATGTATGTACAAGTCCGGAGTCCAATGAAATTATGTACAGTAATGCCACCCTGCGTCACCACCGCTCGCCTTTGACCTGGTACAGACCACTCTTCCGTTTCTCCGCCTCCCATCGCTCAGCCCACGCCTTCATACGCTCACGACTCTTCTGACTGCCCACATTCACGGTCGGGATAACCCGTCCGATCCGAAGGGCGCAGCAGAACATGGTCAGTTCCCGGAACGAGCTGTGCTCGCTATACGGCACCCCAAAACAGGCACTTTCCCGCGTGCTGCCCCGTTGGGGCACGAGGTCGCGTGCCGAAAACGGTGTCTGCCAATGTGCCGAATGAAGCACCGTCGACACAGGAGGGTTATCCAGCATACGTCCCGCGGGCGGTCGGTACGTCCAGCCGGTCGGTCGAAAGCCCACCACTTTCGTGAAGTGCGGCTTCAACGTGTCCAAATAGTCAGCCAGCGTCTCCGCTCGAATCTCAAACAAGGTCTGCATATGCACCTGTGCCTCGCGTGGGTTATCCGTCAACAGCGCTGACAGCTCTGGGTCCTCCAGGCAGGCGCAGATCCGCTGTTTGGCCGGGGTGGCGAAAATTTTGCTCTTCAGAGCGCGTGCGATTCCCAGACAGATACGTTCTTTCCCAATGCTATAGGTCCCGATCACCACCAGCAATCGGCCACTTGAGCTCGATGTCGAAGACTGCGACCCCGAAGAGCCTGTCACTTTGGAAACGAACTTGCTCATCAACCCTCCCCCGATCCCAGGCGAGCGACCTGATGAGCCGAAAGCAAGCCCGCTACTTTTCTGCTGTCCCTCGTTCAGCTCCACGCAAAGATCGGCACAAGCCTGTATGACATCTTCCTGGCTTGGAAAGGCGTATTTGGGGCTCAAATACGTGGTGTCTAGGTAGCAAGCATCTATGTGTTGCTGACGACGCTGACCTGTGGTGGGATCGACAACCTCCGGGCGCAAGAGTGCATGCTGCACATGGAGCGGCGAGGCGCGAAAATCTCCGCAATGAAGCACCCGATGCGTTCGTTTCGATGGGCCAGATCCCATGGTCTTTTCAAAAAGAAAAATGGCACTTCCTGGACAATGGTTCGCTTCGATGATTGTCACATGTGCTCCGCCCGTGCCAGGGATCTCCGTCCTTTTCTCAAACTCGAGTGGCACCAACCATTTACGATTGACTTTCAACTGCTGGCACACGAGATTGGCTGTCGCACGACTGCAGTAAATTGGACCGTGTCGCCATGAACCCGTAAGGCCAATGTAGTGGTCACTATGAAAGTGACTCAGAAAGTAAGCATTGCAGCCCTCGACAGCACCGTAGCGAAACGCGTCCACGCATATTGAGAACCCGGGCATGATTTTGTAGAACGGACAGGTCCGTTGATATGCCTGCTTGCCTCTGGATGCCACTTCATTGGCTGCTGCTGCTGCCCAGGCGCTATCCTCCGCATTTCCAGCCATGAGCTTAGAGAAGGCTGACCTGGCCCCAGCCTCGCCGGAAGCGTAAGGATCACGCTGTGCGGGGCGAGCAATCGCTGCCCGGTCCGAACGAGTCAGTGCTTTCGATGGCGGTTCGGGTTCAAGCTTGATTTCAGGATCTGGTTCGATCTCAGGCTCAGACTTGACCGTAGGATCGGATTTTGGCTGTATTGTACTAGGCTTGCCATCTAAGCAGTCATTGACGTGCACCGAGACATCCTGAACAAAACAACTGTTACCATGATGCCCATGCAATTCGTAACCAGAACAACTTACAGCTTCATTCAGACCAGTCAAACTAGTCTGACAGATCGGACAAATAGGCACTTCACAGCCAAACGTATTTCCGTCGTCATCCAGGCCATTACTATAATCCTCCAATCCAATCAAAACCTCCTTCACTTGATTATCATGTTCGTCATCATCATCATAATCATCATCAAAGGCATCTAAGAAATTCTCTTCCCCTCGGAACTCGTCTTCCATATCGTCAAAATTCGTATATTCATCAGGTTCGGTGTAGCTCGTGGTTTCTCTTACCAAGGATGGTGGTGTCTCAACAGCGGGCGTCGGTCGTGTTTTAGCTG